CCCCAAAACCCCAAAACCCCAAAACCCCTTTTTTATATACAAAAATAGAATCTTTGAAATTTCTCAATGGATTACACTATAAATTTCTATGTCATCTCTGCTTGTCCATTAGGCCTATGAATGTGTTAGATCATGAGAGAGACACCTCTTTATTAAAGAAATGAACTTCTCCTTTCACAGAGAAAGACTTGGAGGTCCAGACTTACCTCTTTCTCTTATCTTTAACATAGTGCACCAATAAAATAATGTGAATACAAAGAAGTAAGATACATAAAATGAGGTATATAATGTAACCTAAATATTTATAGTTCTGGCTCATTCAATCCCATCTTGTTAAAATTGCTATAATCCCTATAAACGCGAGCAACGCGTTAGTGGTGGCTACAAGGATCATGGTTGCACCTTACGTGAGATAATCAGCATGCATGAATTATTCCAAGGACTTGATGGTAATAAATATATCAGGACCCATGTTATTATACAACATAAAGGCCAGAAACTGTACATGCCGCATCTGTACTGTTAGGAGAAGCTTACCTATAATCGCGTATTTCTACTTCGTTCAGAAGGCTGAAATAATCATATAAGTATAGGAATCTAAGCTAATTCTTCAGTCCTACTAAAACCCCATTTTTTACTAAAATTCTCAGCACAATTTTGGCCTAATTAGCATGATCAAAGAGCCTGTCTCTTCTTAATTTGGAGATTCTTTCGTTGGTTCTATGAGCAGCAGGGGGTTTTATTCTGTTCTGTGTGGCTACTGAGTGGCTGTTATTGATGCTTGGGGAGGGTCTAGGGAAAGAGGGGTAGGAGGGAGGGCCTATTTTGCTCTCTTCTTGGTGATTTTGGGGGAATGAGGGAGGTTTGGGGATTACAGAGGGGGGCTTTTTGGTTCGCTTTGAAAGAAAATAGGAAAGTATTTCCTTACCCATGAATATTAGTCACACGAGTCATCCAATGATGGGAGAGGCCATCAGTACTGAGGTATAAAATCCTTCATAAAATGTAGTCCAGGAGTTTTCTGTATTGAGCCACGTCAAAGGAACACTGAGACTTCAAAATAGGAGTTGGTTGATGACTTCGAGAATGTTATCTTGGAGTTTTGCGCAAGGTCTGATCAAAAATAGGAAGATCCAATAGCTGATGTTTAGAAGATAGAACAAAGTTGATTTTCGGGAAGTATTCATAGATTTTCCAAATATAACTACTGAGCAAAGAGATAACCGAAGGGAAAGAAAAAGAATCGCATATAATTTAGAGTACTTCTTCATCTTTATTCCATTGAAGAACTCTTCTCACATTGAAGGCTCTACTTCATTTTGTTGTTGAAATGATTTCTTATACATGTAAAAAGAGAGAATATAAAATGTGGCTGTTAATAAAGTAAGGATTACTCACAACCCAAAGGATATTTTCTTTGCTATTGTGTCCAAGTTGAGGGTGTAAATTTCAGAAAAGATACATAAGGCAGTGAAAATAATACTTTGCATGAAGATCCTTATGTAAATGTTAAAAGTGAAATAGCGGAAAAGTCTTGAAATCAAACTCTTGCATTTCATATGCTTCGAGTTTTGAGTTCATTTGGATGTCAGAAGCACTCAAAAATGAATGATTCCAATTAGGATCAGAAATCCTATTATTGATAGATGGTTGAGAATAGAACTTACTGAGATCATCCCAAGGCTATGAAGGTACTCATCAGGTTGTGAATAAGACTCCCACTCAGTAATATACGCGATAAATGGAATATGATTGAGCTTTAAAAAATCAAAAGATAGCATTGTGAATCCCATTCCTGATAAAAAGTCTAACACTTTAGGAGAAAAATATTCAGGAACTAAGGGAAGAAGCATAGCAAGCTGCAAATTATTGATGATGCAGAATATCGAATTGGGTGATGAAAGTGATAATACAGAAGATATGCTCACCATAACCATACTAGCTATTATTAAAGCTGTAGCAGTTTCTACTGTTCCTAAAGCAGCTGGGATCTTTGATCAAGATTTTTGTTTATCAGATGTTTGATATCCTGTTCTTCATTTCTCGCACTGGTCAGGATTGCCTAACTGACAAGTATTACAATCCTCAATGCTTCACTGTTCCACAGTAATCTGGAAATTCTTCTGATGGACTTCACTATTGAAGGAAATCTGAAGAGTAAAATAATAAGTATCCTGTTCAGAAAGTTTGGGAGTTTTATTTAGATAAAGTTCTTGTTCATCAATATCCAGTTCTATCCATTGGGGGAGTTCATTTGAGTCAGTTTGTATAAGACTGAATGATATTTCAGTATAATTGATCACTTGGGCTCAAGCCCAAGTGAAGTTTAATCTGACTAGAGAATTACTCTGCACTGACTCAGTATAGTCTTGGTTCCACAATGCTACATAGGCATAAAATGTAGGATTCACCTGTGAAGATATATCTGTTCCAGTAAAGGAGGGAGATGTAGATATTGATGCTGTCTTTGTGCTTGATGTTATGCTTGGTATTGAAGTGGTGTCTGAAATTTGATAATCTGTTGAAATAGAGGCAAAACTGGGTATCACAGATTCAAAATCTGATAACTGACCAATATTATGGGCAGGAGACCTTGCCATGAAGAATGATGTATTTGCAGCATATGTGCCAGAATGGTAAGTGAATTCAGTTCCATTAATCACCAATCTTGCCACTGCATATGAATAAGAAATGGCAGAATTATATTCTTTGATTGTATCAATACTCCCATTCTTCCCATAATAGAGCATAACAAGTTTTTTATATTTTGGTAAATTTGAAGATGTTATCTGGACTGCAATGAAGTTGTTGAATTCTTGCATTGAATAGCTTCCTTGAATGCCATTATCATTCCAAATTAATCCAGGATTAAAAGGGATTTCCACTTGTAGCATTTATACTGTGAAATATAAAGTTATTGTCATAAGATATCATTGTGTAAATCGATCTCGAATCCTCACTTGCAATAGAAGCACTCAATATTATTTCTCAGTCTGATGTCGGACAGGTGATGCTCTTTTTCCAAACAAGGTTTGAGGGATCAGAAAAGTTATAATTGACGAGATAATACTGATCAGCAGTAGTATCAATCGAACCAAAGAAAAGGAGATCATCTCTTATAGGAGCTAAACTTGTATAATTATTAACTCCAAAGCTGAATCAGTCGAGATTAGTTGTAGAAGTATCCCATTTTCAAGTTTCTATTACTGAAGCTAGTCTGACTCCAAAGTATAAATCATTAGACATGCTTGCATCTCATAGCCAACTCACCTTTGAGGACAAGATTGCCAGCTCTCTAGTTGCTGTGAGACTTGCTGTATTAAACTCATATAATCTGTGGTTATAAAAAGTAAGTCAATACATAAAGTCTTTGTTGGCAGAAAGTGTATAAGAGCGAGCTTGGCAATAAATATCGAAAATCATAACTTTGATCGGTTCTAAATTAAATCTTGATTTATAAACAATATTTTGATATGCAGATGATCCGACTCGAATATGGCCTACAAAATACAATATATTGTTATGCTCATCTGCTATTACGTTTCTGAAGAGAACTGATGTCATCGTCGGAAGTTTAAATGTTCCTGCCAAGGGTGCTTCTAAGCCTCCTTCATCACCTTGACATTGCTTCATAGCAGCCATTTTCAGTCATAGAAGTAGGATAATGAAAAGTATCAGGACTCTCATTATTATATTTATAATATTAAATTTTATTATTTAAACTTATATTCTGAATATGGGGTTTTGGGGTTTTGGGGTTTTGGGG